CCGGCCGCCCGCCGGCCCCCCCGGCGGCGCGCGCCGCCCGCCCAGCTCCCGGCGCGCACCGCGGCCCCTTGGGGCGTACCAAGGCCAGCGGGCCGGAGGGGGGGGTGCGCGTGTGGAGCCGGACGCCCAGCGCGGTGAGAGGGAAGCGGCGAGTCACCGCTGCTGTGATGGAATCGGCCGAACAGAGACGCGACCAACGTATTTTATAATCTAAATGTTTTATGTGCGGGCATCATCGCTTCAGAGTTAGATACTCAATGAGTAATAAGGGCAAATTAAAAATAAAATTATGTAAACAGCTCAAAGTTCCATTTTTTCTGGCGGCCGCTCTGCCCAGGCTCAGACGCTGCAGCGTGAGGAGGATCCGCTTTCCTATTCACAAGTATTGCCTGCCCAAGTCACCTTCGTTACCTTGAAGAGATCTTTAACATTCTCTGAAACGCCTTATAGTCATGGATTTCTGTATAAGTGGTGCATGAAGTTATGAAGCGGCCTGGGGCCTGCTGCTTGTGGCTTACCTTGCACGGTGAACTTTAAAATACCTGGATTTTAAATGATGGATTACACGGTTTGATGGGCGGTGGGGGGGGAAGCTTAGATATCATACCTGGAGAAGATTTCTGAGAATTTCCCCACTTCAAGCACAGTTTCACAACTAGAGTATGTACTTCTAGTAGTTATCATACTGTTGTGGTTGTTGAATTTTTTCAATTATGAAAGACAAAGTGTATTACAATGAGCTTTGTACTGTCTCCTTTATTTTTTTTTAAATCAGCTCAATTAAAATAGCATGTAGGCATAGCAAAACAAAGCCTCAAACTAGGAATTAAAACTGACTTCAGTTCCTGGCTTTGTCACTGACTGTTGTAAACTTGGACTCTTTTTCACTTTCAGGTTTCCTCACTGGTAGAGTAGTAATGGTCCTCACTGCCTTAACATGGCACTTTGGCTCCTCAGACAAAAACATGCCTCTGTAAGATTAGTACTGAAGTACAATCTATTATTATTCTTTTATTTAAAGATATTTTCCTCTTTAAAAAGCCAAATACAAATCAAAATGACTCATTGCATGTTGTTTAAAAATTCACTTTAAATATGCTAGCATCCCCTTTGACTCTTAAGTATCTGAGAAGACCCACAACCGATTTAATTTCGGTCCTACTTCCTGCCCTCAGCCAGCTTCCTGTGACTTGAGGGCAGCTAAGCTTTGCATATAAAAGTTCATAAAACTTTTTTTAAATTTCATCAGACCATCAACTCACCCACTGTTGCAGCCCACTCTTGCCACTTTTGGGAGTTAGTCCCCTTTCTCTGCCCCAACCCACAGAAGAGAAGTTGATACGGACAAAACCAGAACAGAGGCAGAGGTAAAAATATGAATTTTAATTCAAAGCATTTAGTGTATTTACAATAGAAAGTTTCTCTCTGGTCAAAGGACAAGAGACTAAAAAAAAAAAAAATCCACGTTAGAAGTGTGTGGACAACCTGCACCTGATGCAGGCTAATTGATTTTTGCTACTTCTGCTTCACCTGGGGTCATACCCCCGAGAAAGCGATGGCGAGAGCCTGGAGATGGTACCGAATGTCTCTTACACCCAAGTAGCAATCACAGAATGCACTTCAGGAAGTAGTGTGAAGTTATTCAACAGTGCTAAAAAAAATATATATATATATATGTACACATACACAGTCCCATTTGCAGTTAGATCAGATTCAGCGAATCGTTCAGATAGATAAGCAGGTAGACACAAGCCTACCGACCTGTATGCAAGCACAGATTTGCAGAAGCGCACACGCTACTAGGTACATAGGTACCTTCTCACCCAGACAGACACACGCACTCCTTTCCCCTCTACACTTGGACAAACACACAGGCAGCTGTTTTGTTAATGCTATCTTACATGGTTTCTAGGTACAGAAAAAAAAATTGAGAAAAAAGCACCAACCCTCTCATCTGACTCACTGGCTTGGAATCCTTATTCCTCTTGAACCTGATGGAAATGGGGGTGTGGAAAGGATAACATCCTCCCGTTTCTCAGAGCCACCACTTCTGAATCTCCTTGACTCTTTTGCCACAGCGATAACTAGTTGATACCGAAAGGGGGCAATCCTCTCCTGCTCCCAGAAATAGGCACGTCCTCCCACCACTTCCCTTGAGTCAGATTTAGCAATCAAAGGGCTGCAATGTGAGCCAGTTGAACTGTCTGATCTCGCAGAAGAACAGATCTGCAAAAAGTGAGTACTTTACCATCTGAACAGCCAGCTTAACCGAGTCACCCTACAAGTTTACCCACCACATGGTGGGTGGAGCACCTCTTTCAGCAACAACTTGTCCATAGAGTAGCTGGTCTATCAAGTCACTCTGAGCTCCTGTTTTCACCTTGGTCAGAGTCCACACACCACTTCCTTTATGAGGTGCTTTCCCTCCTTGGGAAAGGAATTGTTGCAGAGGCCTGTCTTGGTTTAAAGATGCTGAACTACATGGTGGTTGAGAAGCAAACCTCGGCCTTCCTCCAGCATCATCTGCTGCTGTCTCCAACAAACCCAGTTAAGGAGTGTTAGAAAGATAGGGAGGTATGGGAAAAGGAAGATAGGAAAGGAAGGGAGTTATGATCCTCTCTTAACAGTCATAGCAAGGGCAACTAAAGCAGAGATAGATTAAAGATGGCTGTGGAGGCTGCAAGGTTGCAGAGAGTTCTGGTTTAGCAAAGCCTCTTGAATAGCTTCACTGCAGCCACTGAGCTCCATCTGGTTGAGAACACAGCTGATGTGCTCCACAGTTGCAGCATGGCCCATCTGCAGTTTCCACAGTCTAAGCATTTCATATTGGGCATCTCGTAAACGCCGATGCTCCATCTCAATTCGCTCTAGATCATAGTCACTCAGACCCAGACGCCTCACAAACTCTTTCCACCGAGATGGCGGTACATGATCCACCACAGTGTAGAGAATAGCAGGGTCTGTGAAAAGAGAAGAAATAAAGTGTGAGAACCAGGATTCTGCAGCCTCAAGGAGAATGTGAATAATCCAGCGCTGGATGGTGCCTTGGGATCATGCATTGGGGCCCCTCCTGTTCGGGTCTTGTACAGAATAGTCACACAGACTCATGTGATGTCTAGACTTGCCCTTATCCCTCAAAAAGCAATAGGAATGCTTCCATATGCTGTTGTGTAAGGTTATGAGCAAAGCTGAGCACACATGCTTAGGGCCTTGCTGCCACAGATTCCTGCCAAAAGAATGCTCTGGGTCACCATCCCAGAGGCATTAAGACTGACAGCATGTCACCACATATGACAATCCATTTTGCTGGTAGGGAAAAGGGACAACAGAAAGGTCTTGCGTGAAATGTTTAGCTTATACAGGCTCACAGGCTCTGGGCATGCTTCTGCCTTTGTGCTGTGCCACGCATGAAGTATACACACAGGTCATGTACACCGGGTAAGGTCTGTCCAACATCCTCCTAGCCACATCTGCATAACTAGGTTCTCGTTTGCCTGGGGAAGGAGGGAAGGATGGGGGCGTTTCACTTACTGTCTGGAAGCTGTGTCTTCCTGGCAGGTCTGACACAGTCTGGTAACTCATGTGAACTTTGCAGCAGAGGTGCAGGTGGTGGTGTTGCATTCAGTGACAATTCTGTTTCCTTCTGGGACTCCGGAAGAAGGATGGAAATTTCACTTCTTTTTACTTCAACCTGAAAGACACATTTTCTTAGTCCAGCATCACCCGCAGCAGCACAATACACCTGTCTCCTGCAAGGAACCACTAGCTTTATATACTAAAATTTATCCAAGATAGGTGGGGAGCAGGTGCTGAGGTTTTAATTCTTCCTATATGCCTTGCTTGAGCAGAAGGCACCAAAGATTTCTTTCCAGCAGAACCCAAGGAGTTTAATTCTCTTTTGACATCAAAAAACGGTAGTCTGGAAGAAAATATTTCTTTACAAAAATCAAGTTATGCTGGACCCGAAATCACCACCATTCTAGAAGCTCCACATGCCACCTTTCCCATCAGCCTTCTCTGTAAGGCTGTGGAAACCCCACCTCAACTACTGCTTGGGCCTTCTTAATTGCAGAACAACACTGGACCTGAGAGAACACGGTGAAGCAGCACTGAGAGGCTTGTGGGGTCAAGATCTGAAGTGAAGTAAAATTAATTAAATCCTCCAAGCTTGGGGTATATGGGGAGAAAAAGGGATTAAGGACCAGCTACTGAAAAGAATGCATCCAGGAAGAAAAGAGCAAAAAGCCAGGAGTTTGAAAAGCATCCTCTAGAAGAGAGGAAGTAAAATGTTAATGGCTCCACCCTCTACAGGAATTAAACAGCCCTATTACTCAGCTCATTTGAAAATACAAGGCCTGAAAACAGCCCATGGGGAAAAACGTTACTCTGGATCCCAGGCTATCATAGTTGAAAGCAGAAGGAAAGCTCTTATATCCATCATCTTGCTCACCTCAGATACTGGCTCCTTGGTTGTCTGTGGCAAAGAAACTTCAAAGAAAAGAAAGAAAAAAGAAAGCAGAAATTATTTTCACTTCCTCTCATCCCAGAGAAAACAGGAAAGCAACTATTCACAATCCTGCCCTCAAAAAGCTTTTACAGCAAAATGCACATGTCCCAGCAATAAGCTCACATGCACTTCCAGTCACAGCTATGGGCATGGATGCAGAGTTGTAAGAACTGCACCAATAAGCTTAGCTGTCGAGTTCTCGTGTTCCTCTGGCCTTGCAGCAAAGCAGAGTAACGGCATCCCACTTTTTCCCCTCACACAAACACAGTGAGAATGATGTCTATCCCAATTAATATCACTGCATATGTTGCTGTACTCACCACAGGAGTAGAAAGATGATGCTATCCCATTTTCCTGGACCAGCTTCACTACTTTATTCACAATGTAGAGGACAGAGATAACTCCAAATATTGCAACGATGATGCCAAGGACAAGGCTCCCACCTGGACAAAAAGGAGAAGGCAAATGAGTGAGTGACTGAGAAAGGAAGAGGTAAGTGCTAGAGGAAGAACAGCAAGTGAAGACGTGCAAATGGTAGGGAGAAAAAGAATAATGGTTTGAGAGAGTGGAGAAAATAACACTTTACAAAAGGCATTAACAGAACAAAAGCCCACACTGAAAAGATTCCACTGTCCCTCAGTTCCCCCAGTACTCACTCAGCCCAGACGAAGTCGGTGAGGTAGTAAGTGGACTATGACACTGCAAGCATTCTTCTCCAATGCAGCTGAAAGAGCAGATCAGAGGTGTGAGCGTGCATGAAATGAAACACCAGCTGTTTGTGACAAACCTAAGTAACAGACAAGTCAAGATGAGCCTGCAAAGCAGAGCAATGCAGTGTGGCTAGTGACTTTGGGTTCTTAGTGGGCTGACGCCTACATGGAGAAGACCGGGGGTGGCAGAGGGGAAGACCCAATTGCCCCAGAAAGGCAGAATGTTGTAAAGTTATATCAAGATGGACAGAGCCTTGAGAAAAATGTCCTCCCCTGGTGGGGCTAGTGTCTGCTGTCTCTCCTACTCAGTGGAGGGGCATACAGAGGAAGAAAGCTCACCTGTTGCAAGGCTTGCAAACGTTACTAAGCGTCAGGAAGAATCGAGGCTTACACCTGCAAATTGTGTCTCTGTTCTTTGAGCCTGTAGAGAAAAAGAAGAAACCATTGCCATAATCTGGACAGAAAAGAAAACAAAAGGAGAAAAATCCACTCCAGGATGGGTGGGAGATTATCCATCTTTGAGCCTGAAGAACTGCTACTGAAGAAGAGAAAGAGGATTCGGTCTATGTCTGAGGACAGGGTTGGGGGAGGATAAAAATAATAAAAAATAAGGGTACCACTGTCCTGATAGGTCAGGAACCTCTGTAGAGGCTTGGAAAGGGACTAAAATTACAGTGCAGCTGAAATTGGTCTAATGAATAATGACAGTTCCAGTGCAAAAGCAGGGAAAGTCACTCAAGTTCAAGCGTGACAGGAAGGAGAAATCACATTAGTCAGACAAAGATGAGGGAGAAGTGGTCCCTGAGCAGCTGGGACTGGTGAGGAAGTCAGTTCAGGGCAAAGAGAAATCACTTCAAGCCATGGGACACATATCCACTCTTGTGATCTGCTATGCTATGAGTGGAAGGGGTAAGAAATGAAAGAGCTATTGCTTCTAAGCAAGTCACAGTATGGAGACTGAGTAAAACAGGCGTGGGGAGGAACAGACAAGAATAGTGATGGAAGGACATAAAGTTGCAGGAGGGGAGGGAAAAAGGTAGTAGAACAAGCAGCACACATTCTGTGGCAAGCGAGGGACAGGACTAGAACAGTTCTACATCAGCCAAGAGGGAAGGAAATTGCTCAAGGGCAGCATACGATGATGACCCTTGAAGATAGGCATGTGTGGAAACTGTGACAGAGGAAGATTACTGAGCACTAGAGGGAACGCATTCACCAGTGAGACAGCAAACCTCACACTAGGCAGGGTAAGAAACGGCAAGGGGATCAGGAGAAGCAGAATTCGCAAAGAAGAGGGGATAGCTTTAGGACAACAAGGTAAGGAACATTTAAGGGACATGAACGGAATCAGACTACAGCACAAAGTGGAAGGCGGCAAGCAGTATTCGGTTAAGATCTCCGATTCCTGACGGGAGATGAGGCAGCTTGTGACAACTAACATGGGTGCTTCCCCCAGACACCAGCACCATCCCCAGGTCATGCCCAATGCCACTGGGTACAGTTCAGCATTACCTGAGCAGCTCCTTAGTTTAAAACACTGCACAGTACACTGTGGTGGTTCAGCAACCAACTGACAAGCAGTTCAGCTGGGCACTGGGACCAGCGGTATTTTCAGCCATTGTACTCAAAGTGCTTCCAGCAGTTGGTGAGGGAAATGCAATGAGCATCAGGAGAAATATCCACACAAAGACAAAAAAGGAAGGTAAGGAGGAAATCTGCTCAAAGACCTTGCTTCAGTACATGCAAGGCAGAGGTACCAAAATTAAGTAGAAAATATCTCCTCACAACAGCCAAAACTGAGAAACCATTCAAGGACAAAAGGAAGGTAGAAACTCTGATAGAAAACAGAGTTTTCTATCCGATGCCAAGGCAGGCAAAAAATGGCAGTCTTTCTGGGGAAAGGGGGCAGCCAAAACCAAGAGTTGTTCCAAAACTACAATCACTTCAGGGCAAGGCGCTGCACTGTGTCAGAAAGTAAACAGAGGGCTGCTAATGTCTACCCTAGTACAGTATGTCTGCACTGGAGCCCTAGTACAGTATGTCTGCACTGGAGCCATATCCATGCCATACTCACAGTTGGCAATAATCCCATTGACACACGAGCTGCAGTTCCTACACTGGAAGAGATCGGACAGGCCAATCTGATACTGATGCTTCCGACAGCCGCATACGGTATCTTGCTTTGGGGTGCAGGGAGTCTCTACTATCTGCTGGAATTCTGAGGAAAGGAACAGCGATTACTCCAACCTCTTCCCTTACCTTCAGCTGAGAGCACCGTTATGATGACAGGTATTGTTATCCCCTAATCTTCCCAGAGAAAGGCCAAAAAGGCCTGCAAACTGTGTCTCAGACTGTAGTAATTTGGTAACCCTTATTCCTGCTGTCCCCAATCCCTTCCCATACACTGTCCTTCTGCCCATTCAATTGCTTACTTTTCCAAGCTTCCTCGCTCACCTTGCGATCCTTTCCAGCCTCCCACCTGCCACTACCACCCATTTTCCTCAGGTCGTGTAGATAACTCACCTGTACGGCACCGTGTACACTGGAAGCATTTAGACATGGTGTTATCAACAGCTGTGAATGTGCCATTAGCACATGGAAGACAGACAGGTGCCTGGTCAGGCCGATCACAGTCTTTTGCCTTGTAGGTACCTGCAAGAAAATCACTTAACAGTGCTCTGACAGGAAGGCAAACGCGTTGTCTTAGGGAGGATGGGAGTCATTGATTCCTCAGAGAAACCCTGGAGTTGATGGCATAAGGATTGAGTATGCTTCCTCTCACCAGTGTAAGGGACACTGACAGCCCAAAAGAGGAGACAAGGAGTAAGAATTTACCTGGGAGGGATAGGTACCAGGATAGGTAAGGGATATGGATCCTATATATATATAGGATATATATATGCATCCTATATATCCTATAGGATAGGAAAGGGAGCACTGATGTAGCTGTAGGACAGAAACAGTTTGAGAGTGCAGGACAGGGAAATGCCTCTAATGTGAAGGTCACTATTACTGTACTTATTTTACGTACCTGCATGGCACCTCATGCAGCAGTGGGTCTCTCTGGGATGTAGGTATTGTCCTAGTTGACACTGCACCTGCCTCTTTTCTCTCCTCAAGGGGTTAGAGGGGTCTCTTCCATCCAAAGCTACCCGATGGACTTGCAGTGTATATGGCACTGGAGCAATTTCTACAGATTCCTTTGTCAACACGCAGACAAATGTTAGGATAACCTGTAAATACAGAGGGAGAGGGGGAGGGGGGGGAAGAGGGAGAGCAACAAGGTGAGAAAACATCATGTCCCCTGACAGACTGCACAGCTGACTTCAGCACTTAGAATTAAATCTTTTTATAACAGTGAGTTCAATTGACTTGACCAATTCTGATATCAGGACCCTCCACTGATGAAAGTGTGGGAGAAGATTATTTACCAAAAAAAAAAAACCCAACAAACCCATGCCTGTCATCGGTGTTATTAATATGCCATACAATGGTCTCTATGACAAACTGGTTGTATATAAAGTAAATACTTTTTGTGATGTGTAATTTATAGATGGAACGCCTTGAAAATGCTGCAGCTTGCAAGAAAGTTACTCAAGAGCAAAGGAATGTTTTTATGAAGGAAGGCAGTAAGACTGCCCATCTAGAAACAGTTCCAGAGAGAAGAATGCATCCAGTACTTGCAGTTCTACTGAATAAATAAACCAGATGGGAAGTTTGGAAAAAGAAGGCAGAGGAGGATCTCACTGCATGCAAAGTATAGAAAAGCTTCCAAAACTCCTCCTGAGCAAGCGTTCCTTAGAACGTGGGAAAGTTAGGTTTTCAACTTCTCCCCGTCAAACTTACATTCTTCCTTTTAAACTGCAGCTGTTAACACTCAGTCTGAACACTCTGCCACACAAATGTGCACTTTTTTCTTTTTTTTTCTAATTCCTTTAAGATTTACTTGCTATTTTTCATTTTGAAAATGACTGTTGTCAAGAATTTTAACAGAAATATTAAGATTGGCATGACTGCAGTATGACTGTAAGAGTGTGTGAGTGTTTGTACACACACACACAAAGGAACAGCAGAACAAAGAGTTAAAAGAACGGCCTGTACCGATAATGAAGGACACCATTCCCTGGACACTGTTTTCAGAACACTATTCCCAGCAGCAAAATTGAGAAATGTGCTGTTTATGTCATGGCTAAAAGGTCTACACTCTGGTAAGACCACAGCATATGTGACTCATTAGCAAAAGACCCTGCACCAGGAGGATGGTAACAAGATTGCAGCATATCACAAACATGATTCCTTTGCCTGTTGGCCCAACAGAAAAACAGACTCTAGGCATGTATTTCAAACATGCATTCAGACAAGGAAAAACCATACAATAACAAAAAGGTTAAAAAAAAAAAGGGGGGGGGGGTTGAAACAACTTGGCCCAAGATTTATGGAGCCTGAAGTCAGCAAGTTCCTATGGCAAAGGCCCATCCCATACCAGCTGATGACTCCCGAAGGGTATGATGGACTTGTCCAAAAACTAGTTTGTAGTGCCATGAACCCCAGTGGCGTGATGAAGACTTGACAGCCAGTGTCCCTTGTCGTCTGCGTTGCACACAAGTGATCCTGGCCACACCATCTGGACATACACGTGTTGGTGCTTCTGAGTATGTTGCGGAGAGCGTGTGCCCCAATGTAATCTATGCATCAGATCATGTGAATGCATGAAAATCAACTCCTTTTTTTGCAAATACCACCCTGCCCCATCCATACAATCTCACACTGAGTTTTACTACGCTAACTTGCCTACATTGTAATGTTTTCCCAGCTTGCTTTTTTGAAAATGGTAAGATGCCTAGCTGTACAGGCACAGCCTCAGAGTTCCATTTCTTTTTGCTTTTTCAGCTAGAAGAGTTATAGCAAAAGCAAAGTAAACCAATAAGGGTAAACCACAATGCTGATACCAATTTTGTGGTTGCAAGCTTAAGAAAGGATACACAAAATGAGATGGCTATGACAGCCCCATGCTGTCCTGTTTCTCTCTCAAAATTAAAGCCTTGGAGGAGAAAGGTACATACATGAAAGCAACTTAAAACCTCAAGAAGGATAGGACTTTGCAAATCTGACAAAGCAAAAACCCCATTTTTCAGAGAGCTCTGTCATACAAAGACATATTCAATAGACCAGATGCTAATATGGTGAGCAGGAAAAAGAGAACCACATATTTAAACAGCTATCATTTCAGACTCAATAAGCTGACCACATGATAAATGCAAGCACTCCAACAACTCAGTAAGAAATAAAACTTGTTTCAGCAGCTGATAGTCTTACAAGATTGATCTTTTACCCATTCTCCTGCAAACAATCATTCACACAGATGGTCTGACAGCAACAATAAAAAATTCTGATTCTCTAGCCAATGATTAAATCCCCTGACATGGGAATATATACAGCTGGACCATAAGTCAGACGAGTCAGCAATAGAAACAGAGGAAAGCATCGAAGATCAAGCCAGAAACACAGAAAATCAGAGATACCTTCAAAAACAAAAGAAAACAGGAAAGGTGTTTTCAATTTTTCAGATTAAGTGAAAGTGAGTCTGTAAGCGTAATCAAGCCAGAGTTAACACATTATTACTGATCAAAATCTGAGGAACAGGGAGTCACAGACCACAAGTGACTCACAAACCAATGACTCAGCCTTCCAGAAAAATCATTCACATGGCAGAAAAAAACCCACCATCTTAAGCAGCTCCCCAAGCCATTCAGCAGTATACTGATTTATACCAATGACAGACTTCATAAAATTCAGGAAATACATGAAATTAGAACAGAATAGAATATTTCAATTGGAAGGGACCTACAACGATCATCTAGTCCAACTGCCTGACCACTTCAGGGCTGACCAAAAGTTAAAGCATGTTATTAAGGGCATTG